AAAAGCCCAACACTGACGAGTTTGTTTTCCTCTGAGCCCCCCAAAACACCCCCCCAAACACTGGACCGGCCCCGGGCGGTGCCCCCGTGGTTCTGGGGGGGGGCCACGGGCACCTCCCCCCCTCAGGATGGGGCCGTTTTGGGTCACTACTGCACCCCCCAAACCCCCCGTTCACTGTCAGAGGCTGCTCAGGGTGGTGGGGGGGTTATTTATTGCTCCTCTCAGGACCCCCCCCCGGCCACGTCCCCCCTCCCCAAATAAAGTGAACCTGACCGGAGCGCGGCGTCCCGGAGCGTTCCCGGGCTCTTCCAGAGGCTTCTCCCGGTTTTCCAAGGTCTTGCCGTGGTTTTCCGGGACGGTTCCGCTCTTTTCCAGGGGTTTCTGGTGCTTTTCCACAGGTCCTGCTGTTTTTCCCGGGGGTTTCAGGGCTGTTTTTCCAGGGAATCCGTGTGTTTTTCCAAGGGTTTCACGTGTTCCTCCGACGGCTTTCGGGTGTTTTTCCGAGGGGGAATTCAGGTGTTTTTCCTGCTCTTCTGTTTTTTCCCGTCGGCTTCCGGGCCTTTTCCGTTCTTCCCGCTGTTTTTCCAGCCTTTCTCCGGGGTTTTTCCCCCCCCAGCTTTGCCCACCCCCCCCTCCTTGCGCCGCTGCCGCCGGAGCTGCCGGAACCGGAGCCGGCGGGGGTTGAGGCCGAAGGCTTCCAACCTCTTCCCGCTGAATTCCCGGCCCCCCAAACGCACGGACGGGCCCAGGGGGGGCCCCCCCCGGCGCCGGGGACCCCCAGGCTTTGGGGGGGCTGCGGGAGGGGGGGGCTGGGGGGTCTCCCCTTCTCCCGCCCCCTCCAGACGTTTCCTCTTCTCCCGACGCTTCTTCCCCGGTTTCGGCTTCGCCGGCGGCGGCTGCGGCTCCTCGGGGCTGAGGGGGGGGGACACTGGGGGTGAGGGGGGGTCTGTGCACCCCTAAACCCCCCCTAGACCCCCCTTAACCCCCCCCCTCGTACTCGGCCACGAGGGATCTCAGGATCTGGCGCTTCCTGGCCACGTTCTGCGCCCGCCGGCTGTAGTTGGCCTGGTCCTGCCGCTCCTCCTGCTCCGAGCTGGGGGGGGTGCCAGGGCCGTGAGCCCCCAAATCCCCCCCAAAAAACCCCCAAAACCCCCGGGGGGGGCACCCAATACCCCCCAAAACCCCCCCTCACCGGTACATGCAGGTCTTGCGCAGGGAGCACCAGCGGTTCAGCTCCTTGTCGTCGGCCGCCAGGATCTGGGGGGGGGTCGGTTTTAGGGGGTCCCAGCGGCCCGGGGGGGGTCGGGGGGGCA